AGGATCGCTTGAGCCCAGGAGTTTGAGGTTGCTGTGAGCTAGGATGACACCACGGCACTCTAGCCCGGGCAACAGAGTGAGACTCTGTCTCGAAAATAAAAAAAAAAAAAGAACTCTATAAATACGTACAACTATTATGTACCCACAATAATTAAACATTAAAAAATAGTGCAAAGATTAAATTAAAACATTTCTAATGTGGGTGGCCCAAGTGATCTTTCCTGTGGGTCAGAGTCTCAACAAAAGGAAAAAAAGTTTCCCATTTCCATTTTCTACTCAAACTTCTATTTGGAAAGAATAATGCTAATATTGTATAGAATAATACAATCAGAAGATACAATAAATGGCTTATTTTTTTCCCTCTTCCTATTAGTTTAAAGAAATCTTTTTAAGCTATTACACTTTAACCCATTTGATATAATGAATATTTGAGGAATATTTAACAACAAAAAACAAAACTATTACCTGTACCAAATGTGGTTTCACCAAGGTTACTACTGATGTATATCGCTCCAACACAGGTGGAAACCCAATTTCTAATCGTGTTTTACAGTATCCAGATCTCTGTGATATTATGTCTGATTTTTTGCACCAAGGAACAAAATGCTTGTAATCCTCCATTCCTGATACTACAGCATACATTTCCTGCATTGAATATCTTTAAAAAAAAAAAAAAAAAAAAAAAGACAAGCGGTATTAACTGCATCTAGTTTATATGGTATATGCATACTTTAAATTAAATATGAATAAAACTTACCATATATGAGGCAGTAAGTCATTTAGCACACATTCTAGAACACAAAGAACCACACTCTACAATCACTTCAAAGCAACATAGAAAATAAAAAAGCTCTAGACATATATAGCAGAGATCATAATTTGGCAGCCCACAGGTTGAATCTCACCTGTAGATGTGGTTTTTAAAATTTTAATTAGTTGCCAGCACTTAAAAATTATGTTCACTTCAATATTAATTGTGAGACAAAAAAGGGGAAGCAACCTAAATGTCTATCAGTAGGTGACATTAATAAATCATAATAAATGATTAATAAGTTATGGTACACCCATACTGTGAAACTCTATATCAATTATTTAAAAGAATTAGGCCAAATATACTTTAAGGCAGACAAGTTTATAGTATATTGTTAATGAAAAAAGCATACAACAAAGCAGGATGTATACGATTCTATCTATTTAAAAAATAGGACGGGCTTAGTGGCTCACGCCTGTAATCCCAGCACTTTGGAAGGCCGAGGTGGGAGGATCGCTTGAGCCCAGGAGTTCAAGGCTGCAGTGAGCTATGATTGTGCCACTGCACTCCAGCATGGGTGACGGAATGAGACTTTGTCTTGAAAAAAGAAAAGAAAAGGAAAATACATTTGAAAAATCCTGAAAGGATACAGATTAAACAAATAATAGTTGTTAATTTAGGGAAAAGTAAGGGTAAAGATAGACTGTTTCGTTTATATGCTTCCATACTGCTAAGATTTTGATACAGCATGTAGTGCTGTGATAATTAAATAAAGGAAAATAGCTGGGTATGGTGACTGGTGTCTGTAATTCTAGCTACTCGGGAGGCTGAGGTAGAAGGAATGCTTGAGGCCAGGAGTTCAAGACGAGCCTGGGTGATACAGCGAGATCCCATCTCTAAAAAAATTTTTTAAATTAGCCTAAACAAGGGGAAAATAAACTATTCTAAAACACAAAGAAACCTCCCATTCTTTTTATGAGCCAGTGTAACATCCTAACAACCAAAACCTAATAATGAACATAAAAAACAAAGCTATATACCCAAATCACCTGGAAGTACTGAGACAAAAATTCTAAGTAAAATATCACCAAATAGAATCCAGCAATACATTAAAAAAAAAAATACAACAAGCAAATGCAATTCATTTAGGGATATATAGATGGTTTAATACTAAGAATTCGTTTTTTTGTTTTTTTTTTAAAAAGAGACCAGGTCTTCCTATGTTGCCCAGGCAGAAGTGCAGTGGCTATTTACAGGTGTGATCACAGCACTCTGTAGCCTCAAAACTCCTGGGCTCAAGAGAGCCTCCTGCCTCAGCCTCTCAACTACCTGGGACTACAGGCGCATGACCATCGTGCCAGGCTTGAATTCTATTATTATAACCATATTAATTGGCTAAAAAAGGAAAAACTACACAATTCCCTCTACAGATGGTAAAATATAAAAGTATTCCCATTAGAGTAAGAAATAACACAAAGATGTTGCTATGTTATATATATATACATACACACAAGTGCATTGTTATGTAACACTCTTCTGAAAGTATTAGCCTAAGTAACTAATTCAGAGCATGAAATATGAGGCACATGTGTTATAAAGAATTAGGCAAAATTATCAGTTGGCAGGTGATATGACTATCAATTCAGAAGAATCGATTCATAATTCAGTAGGTAGCTTATTATGAAATATATAAAAATCACTTCCTGTAGGTAATAAAGTTAGGTAAATAAATTTAAAAAACAAAAAGAATAAAACTTAAAACAAATAAAGATAAATAAATAAAAATCATACCTTTCCTATACTAATAAGAACCAGTTAGAAAAAGCACAGAATATATTCAACAAAAAAATTTGAGGGATTAAATGAAAAACAAGCAATGACAACAAAACTCTATGGACATACGTCAAAGACAACCTGAATAATGAGAGCCAGAAATATATTATTCTTGGTTATAAAGACTCAATACAGTTAAAATACAATTTACCCCAAAATGATAAAGTAATTTAAACAATCGCAACCTAAATCACAATAAGTTATTTTTGGATTTCGACAGAATTTGAGTCTTTATGTATGTTTAAACTAATCTATAAACATGAAATGAGGCCCACAGCAGAGGGAGAGGGGAGAAACCTACCTTCCCCAGGTTTTCAGGTCCTTTGAAATAAACGGCAAATCCCATAAAGAAGTATAAAACCTGGTAGCCTGGAAGTTAACTGCTGTAAAAGTGTACAAAGACTAACAACGTAGTACAGCATAATAATCAAGGGGATAGACTTTGTAGTCAGTAAGTTTGGTGTTCAAATACAGTAAGCTCTAAACATAGTAAGCCATGTGATCCTAGGCAGGTTACTGAAACTCTCAACTTCATTTTCTTGATCCATAATTGAAAAATACCTCTACAAGTTCTTTTGAGGGTTAAAAGAAATAGTTTCAGCAAAGTGCACAACGCTTAATAAGCACTTAATAAATGGTAGCTATTATTATGTATTTATGCCAAATATGGGTAGGGAAGGTAAGATGAAGATCACGGAATAAGACCAATTTGTAATAAAAAGAGAATTTTGGCATAAGTAGTAGTAAGCAAAGCAAATATGGCGGAGAAAAAAATAAGGTTTGGAATCATAACAATGCACATTATCTCACTGAGCTTCAGTTTCTTTACCTCTAAAATGAGACTAATACTTACTCACATGGTTATTGTGAAGATAAAATGAAACACTAAATATAAATCACCCAGGAGTACCTGTCAAATGACAGGTACATAGTACAAGTTATGGCCGGGTGCGGTGGCTCATGCCTGTAATCCTAGCACTCTGGGAGGTGGAGGCAGGTGGATCATTTGAGCTCAAGAGCTTGAGACCAGCCTGAGCAAGAGTGAGACCCCGTGTCTACTAAAAAAATAGAAAGAAATTAGCTGGACAACTAAAAATATAAATAGAAAAAATCAGCCGGGCATGGTGGTGCATGCCTGTAGTCCCAGCTACTTGGGAGGCTGAGGCAGAAGGATCACTTGAGCCCAGGAGTTTGAGGTTGCTGTGAGCTAGGCTGACGCCACGGCACTCTAGCTCGGGCAACAGAGCGAGACTCTGTCTCAAAAAAAAAAAGTTATATATTATTAGTGATTCAGAAGTAAAGCAGACTAATTTACTATTTATCTCTTTAGTTGCCATTTCTCTTTTGTTTGACAAATTTACTATTTATCTCTTTAGTTGCCATCTCTCTGGTATCTGCTATAGACACCAGCTATAGCAAAGATACCTCCCTATCCAAAGATGTGGATTTGCTTTACAGTGTGTTGTTGCTAGGAAGTACCTGGCCACCAGGGGCTACAATTCCCAGTCCTTGCCCCCTTGAATTTAGATGGGGTCACATGACTAGTTCTTGTCAGTATTATCTGGGAAGCATTGTGTTTCACTTCCAGACCAATATGATTAACAAGGTGTACCATATTTTTTTTTTTTTTGAGACAGAGTCTCACTGTGTTGCCCAGGCTAGAGTGCCTTGGCATCAGCCTAGCTCACAGCAACCTCAAACTCCTGGGCTCAAGCGATCCTCCTGCCTCAGCCTCCCGAACAGCTGGGACTACAGACATGCGCCACCATGCCCGGCTAATTTTTTCTATATATTTTTAGTTGTCCAATTGATCTCTTTCTATTTTTAGTAGAGACGGGGTCTCACTCTTGCTCAGGCTGGTTTTGAACTCCTGAGCGCAAACAATCCACCCGCCTCGGCCTCCCAGAGTGCTAGGATTACAGGTGTGAGCCACTGCGCCCGGCCTGGTGTACCATATTTTAACACTCTGAAGACTAAGGAATTGCAGAAGTCAAAAGTCGGATGGAGCCTGGGTTCCTGAATCACCATTTACAAGAGAAATGCCCATTGAAAGGGAATACCCATTTGAACTTTACGTGAGAAAGAAATAAACTTTCAGGTATTATCTGTATAGCTACTAGCACTACCTTAACTAATACAGTGACTAGCCAGTAATAAAGGTAAACATAGTGACCAAAGCTGTAAGTCTTTTACTACAGAAAAATAAGAATAAAAGTGAATGAATAAAATAAATAAATGAAAGGCAGTTTTACAAAATTTCATATAGTATTTAATGGCCTGCTGGGAATTAAGACCCCCTTGTAGAAACTCCCATATGGTGGGAAGGTGTATTTCCAGTTTAGCAGAACTACAGTGTCTTTATCCTCTGTTGTACATACCCCTAGATCAGGGGCCAAATCTGATAAATAAAGTTTTATTGGAATACAGCCATGCACATTTATTTACACATTATCTATGTCTGTCTTTGGGCTACCATGACAGAGATGAGTAGTCCTTGTGGCCCACAAAGCCTAACATATTTACTATCTGGCCCTTTACAGAAAAAGCTTACCAATCCCTGGTTGGAGATTAAGAGCCTAGTATGTCTATATGTACTTATCTATGTGTGTGTGTTTATGTGAGGGAACTATGTAAACTATGGCCTAATATATCAGTAATGTGGCCACTATAGAAAAGAACAGTGTACAAAAATGCAGGTCATAAATAATTTCCCTTCTGTATCAAGGTTTAACTCTGTATTATAAAGTTACTATATGATTATATTAATCCAACAAATATTTATAAAACAGGAATGGCTATGAAACGGTCAACCTAGAAAAACCAGAGTTTAGTCTGTAAGAAGACAATCCAGAAAGAGGCATGATACTCCATAGGAAATTGTGAACGTGTTCTTTTAGTAGAATTCATATTAGATACAAACCCTAAAATTCTCCTTTCTGAATATTCTTTCCTTTTGTTTATTAATGGTGCAGCGATTTTGAACAAACTTCTTGCATTTATCTCCTTAGGCAAAATTGAGGTATGTATCGGAAGAGTTCTGCTCATCAGTATACCACAGGAAGCTAAATATCTAAAAAGACAAAAATTACCTGATTTAGAGTGACATTGAAAATTAGACAAAGCACAAATTACAGAGACTGTAAAGTAATTATCACAGTTAGAAGGTTCTGCAACTTCAGAACATTCCTGAAAAAATACACACACACAGAGAAAAAATAAAGTTTCTTAAGCACCATAAATAACAGTTTATAGTTGGGTTAAAAGCTTCTAGCACAGGCTGGGCGCCGTGGCTCACGCCTGTAATCCTAGCACTCTGGGAGGCTGAGGCGGGCGGATTGTTTGAGCTCAGGAGTTCGAAACCAGCCTGAGTAAGATCGAGACCCCGCCTCTACTAAAAAATAGAAAGAAATTAATCGGACAACTAAAAATATATAGAAAAAATTAGCCGGGCATGGTGGCTCATGCCTGTAGTCCCAGCTACTCGGGAGGCTGAGGCAGAAGGATCACTTGAGCCCAGGAGTTTGAGGTTGCTGTGAGCTAGGCTGATGCCACGGCACTCTAGCCCAGGCAACACAGTGAGACTCTGTCTCAAAAAAAAAAAAGCTTCTGGCACAAAAGGCATCTCTCCCAGAAAGTTGGCTTTCAGTCTGTAGTCACGTGTAATGTTACAACCTACTTTTGCCTTAAGCTTGCCAGAATATTCAACATCTATTTTTGTTGTTGTTTTTGAGACAGAGTCTCGCTCTGTTGCCCAGGTTAGAGTGCCATGGCATCAGCTTAGCTCACAGCAACCTCAAACTCCTGGGCTCAAGCAATCCTCCCGCCTCGGCCTCCCACAGTACTAGGGTTACAGGCGTGAGCCACTGCACTGGCCCATCGTCCATTTTTCAAATCATGTTATCTACCCAGGTTGTTTTCCCAGCTGGATCCATAAGGGTTCTTTAATTCTTGATTCACTCCAGTGAGACTTGAAATTGGGTATCACTCTCAGGTAGGAGATGTGGTGGCACTGTCAGAACTGTTGCTCTGTTCTTCTTTACCTTCCAGTCTCCATTTCAAAGTATATATGTAAAAATATGCCTACTTAATTAGAATATTACTGTTTGAGGTACTTCTATGTACAAATGCCTGATATGCTCTTGTTCACCTAAATATTTTTAACTTTTCCCTAATAAGACTATTGCATAGCTATTTTATACTACTAGTCATTCATTAGTTCATATAGTTACTAAGCTCCTATTCTGTGTTGGGACTGTGCTAGGCACTAAGGATATAATGGTGGATAGAACAAACATGAGCGTTATGAAGATTACATTCCAGTTGAAGATTCAAAAAAAGTGCTGGAAAGGAAATGGGGGTAGGGACATGTGATTAGGACCTCCTTTAGACAGGGTATTCCAGGATCCCTCTGAGATTAGATTTCAGCTGAGACATAATGGATAAGGAGTTAGCCATGCAAAAGGAGAAAAGAGGTATGTATGTACATAAAAAATATGTGTGTATATATAAGAATACATATATACAAATAAATGAGAAGACAGGCAGATAGTGGGTATTCCAGGTACTAGGGAAAAGAGCCTGGCAAGATATACAGACTAAAATAGACTAACAGTATAGCAGCAATATAGTAAGCCAAGGGGAGAGTACCAAGAAATAATGTTGGAGAGACAGATAGAGGAGCTGGATCATGTTGGATACTCTTGCCCAGGATAATGCAATTTGAAATTTACTCTCAATGAAAAGCTTTTGAAGATTTCCAAGTAAGAGTCATATTTAATTAAATCAAGTCTTTAAATTATTTTTAAAAAGGGAAGTGAGGTAGCCTTGTGAAATCTCATGTTATCATATATAAAATG